TTTACATGAAAAGCCAAGGCAGGGAGAGCAGCAGCAAAGACTCCTCCAGGCTCTTCTCTTAGACCTCCTGACTGAACTAGTTTCGTTGTTTTGCAACAAAAACAGACAATGTCGGGCATTGACTTTGACTTTCAATAAATACTTAAAATCTGAGTATCTTCCTGTGTTTCCAGAAGATCCAAACTTGACTAAGGTTTGCAGACCCACCAGGCTGATCGAGGATGTTCCCTGAAACACTGAGCCTTCAGGAGAGAGCGAGAGAAACAGAGAGAGAAACAGAGATGGTCCCGTTCAGCCTGAGAGCTTTTACACTGTCAGCTTATTATCTGTTAATTTCTGCAGTGATTGAAGTAGCACAAAGACACGCTGCTCTGTAATCAGCAGTTTGTTTTGCTCCAGCAGAGACGCCTCTGTTCTGCTCTAAGAGGATAATTGGAGAGAGGAGGGAGACACCAACAAAGAGGGAGGAGGGGGAGGACGAAGAAAAGGGGGGGAGGGGAGTTCGGAGACAATCTGCAACTTATTCTGACTTTAAGCCCTGAGGGAAACCAGAGGCACGTCGTGGTGGAGTCAACTCTTTAGATTTTCAGTCTGATGTTTCCTCTTCATGTCAAAAATCTCAGCCACGTCACTTTTGTACTCAAATAGCTGGTCTGTTAATTTACATACTGATGTTTTTTCCACTGTAGTCCTGAAATGATCGCAAAATGCTTTCACGCTCTACTACCTGGATGTAATCAAACACAGGTGGCGTCTCATAACCTGGAATATAACCTCCCAACCAAAGCAATGAGAAACCAGAGTAAACACGACCCTCACTTGATTGTTTTTCTGTTTATTGTTGGTCGAGAACTTACACCAAAGATGAAGTTACTCCAAAGCCATCCACTGTCTACACATTTATTGCGTGAAGCACCGGGGTAAAGGCGATAAAAAGGCAAACAACATCAGGGTTTACTGTGCCAGACTGTGCTCAACTGCACTGAACCAAACCCTGCAGCGAAAACGCACCATTAGTGCAGCGAAACTTCATGGTTCTCCAACAGTTTAGGTGAAATTAAACACAACTGGTCCAGTTTGTCGAGTTCATGCTGATCTTCTGGATTCTTTAGGTTTAAGTCTTTGTTGGATTAACTGATCCATCCTGAGCTGGTCTCTGAGATCACTTTCTTTCTTTTATCATTTATCACACTGTTTTATCGATAAAGACGTTTCTGCACAGTTGCATCATTCCTGCAGCTGAAAGCAGAGATGTATATTCCTCTGGAGGTGGAGTGTATTTGAGTCCTTTCATTGCTCACATGTGGCTATCTGCATTTCTGCAGCAGCTCCAGCTTTCTGTTTCAGATGACAGGGTCAGACGAGGAGAAGAGAGGAGAGGAGAGGAGACAGTCTGTCCTCATTTATGATCTTTACAATAAAATAAAAAAGGACCATCTTCATACGCGGTTGAAGTCACCACAGAGCTTTGATGTGAGAAGTTATTGTTGCTCTGCTGGATAAAAAGCTGACTTTGTGAGTGTGTGAGAAAGAGTTTGATCCGGGACTGTTAACAGTCTTTGTCAGCAGGGTTCAGCTGAAGTTTAATCACTGCAGCAGAGTAAATACACTCTGAGACTGCAGATAATAATGGTTCACTAACTAACACAGGAACCATCCAGGAACGTGGTTCATTTCATAAATCACTGCAAAGGCTGCAGGATTTATCCTGAAATGAACCTCAGAATTAAACATGCAGATTAATACAGGCTGGATTTTAGAGACAGTACGCACATGAAGGTTTCCTGCAGGCACGAATCGCTCTGTTTAATATTCATTTTAAACATCATATAGCTTTGAAAAGAGTCGCGCAGAGCAGATAGGAAACTGTAAATTACTGTTTATTTAAATATGAAAATTCATAGTCTGAAATATTTTCGTGCGTCTTTTTAGAATGAACGGTTTCTGCTGCTGAAGCTGCAGACGGCTGAAGGGAAATCTGTTTCTAAAATCTCTGAGGGTGGACTGGGTTTGGTGCTGCTGTACTGTTGCTATAGCGACGGGGAGTCCTGAGATGACAGGACTTTGTGTTTTGTCTGTTCGTCGTGTGAGGAGAGCCTCAAACTCTGAGCGATCCTCAGCGTGAAGCAGCAGCAGCAAACACAGAAACAGGAAAGCAGGAGTGGGTGTTTCCTCTGACTACAGGAAAAAAAAAAGAAAAAGGTTTCCAGCCGCAGCAGACGTCTAAATCAGGAGTCCTCAAACTTTTCAGCGTGCAAACCCCAAAACAGACATCAGAACAGCAATCATGATATTATTGTGACGTGATTAAGGACATAACTTGAGTTTTAGACCTAAATTTTAATTCACAGTCATCTATTGAAACTTGAATCACTACTTTTATTGAGGGCATAGTATCAGTACTATGATACATACAGCATTGATAGACCTTTGTTGAGGTAGAAACTTGACAAATAGAGCGTCAGACTTATCATGCATCACAGGTGCTTCTTGTCCTTGAAGGCCACCATCCTTTCACCAACAGGAGGGGTGAACAAGGGAGCTTTCTATCTAGATTCTGACCATCAGATATCACATATATATGTACTTACTATAACTTTGCAACTGTTTTAAAAATACTGGAGTAACCATATGTACATTTAAGTAAGGGTTTTATGTGATTTGGATCATATGTTACACTGTCCAGCTTTGTCTCTGCAGTAAAAGTAATGCTCTGAGTTCTTCTGTCTGATTGAATCATGCCAATGTAAGGTGTAGCATGCTGTGATTGTGAGTTGGGTTTGTTTATTAGAAGCTGTGAAGTTACAGTAGCACGCTGCTTTTTGTCCGGGCTTTAGGCTGAATGTGAAGTGTTGATAAAAGGTGACTAAAACATCATGTTTTCAGGCTTTACAGACAAACGGATGCTGATGATTATAACCTAATACTGATGTGAAATGACCTGACCAGCCACCTACCAGAGCTGCTTCAACTTTTACATGTAGAAAAATCAGCCGATAGTATGTGACAGACAAGAGAGCCTGCAGAGAAACATGAAAACTCATATTTTAAAAAAGTTAAAATTAAAATCATTTTCTGTCGTAAAAATGAAGATTAACCTGTTTTTTCTTTGTTATATTGCACTGAAAGTCCCAAACAAGGAGACTTTATCTTTATAAGTTTATAAGTTTGTTTCACGTGTTAATTTAACATCAACACAAATGTTTAATTAAAAGAGGAACAGATGTTGGCTGTCTCATCTTAGCAAGTGTTTTCGCCTCATTTCTAATAAAAGGACAGACTGTTTGGATTAATTTAAACCAAATTCACTTGACATATCCAAAAATATCCTGTTTACAAGTGTCTTAGAGTAGGACATATACTTATTTTGGGTGTTTAATATCTTGAAATAAGACTTTTTTCTGGACAACTTTTATGAGAATTGTGACAAATTGTGTTTTCTGATGGTTCATAAATCATGCTGATCATTTTCACCATTTTCAGATTAATTATAGTGATAAAATGTGCATCCCCCTACATATGTAAACACGTGTAATTTCTTCCCTTAGTGTCTGCGCAGAAATCAGATCTCTTCATCCAAACCTGTCAGACTGAGCTGAGCTCCACATTGTGTTTCATACAGCAGCTGCACAAGCAAACAGGCGTCCTCTGTCCAAAAATAACATCCTGATAAATGTCTGCATTCATTAAATCAGTGAGGAAGGAGTGACAGAGAACTCAGGAGAGAAAACACCAACATACTGATGAGTTCTGGTCCAGTTTGTTGCTGCTGTAGACGCCGCTCTGCACCGCAATGCAGATCCATAAATTTCACAAACGAGCTAGAGCTCTGCTGAGAGATTTTTAAAGGGGAATTCAGCCAGTTATAGACCAGGGCCGATTTTTATTAGAGCTTAAATGACTGAGAAGACAACACAGTGTATCTGCAGGGGATGAGCGCTTTCTGCAGCAGAGGAACAGGCTGTAATGTCTGCAAAGATATCCTCAATTTGAACAAGGTGTGCCCACTAAAAGTTGCAGTTTTTGCCCCAGACAGTCTCAGATTGTTTTTCTCAAAGTCTGACAGAAAGGATCCCTGCAGTGAGAGAGAGCCTTATACTACAGAGGAAGAGGATTTTATTTACCAGAGACGAGACCAAACTCAGATCAACAGGTTTAGTTTTCCTATGAATATGAAACTTTGGATCAAGAATAAACACCCAACTGACTCTCTGAGGCAGCAGTGGACCCTCACTGTTTTAATCGACAAAGTCTGGGGGCTTTAAAGACAGATGAATGAGTATATATGACTGAAAGTGCAGACAGCCTGCAGCAGACTAAACAATTGTGATTCAGAGAAACCTGGTGAAAGTGTAGATGCAGCACAACTTAAGAAAAAAACATGCAAAAATGCAAAACAAATGCATCAGGATGAAAACACTGCAGGTAAAACACTTTGCATGAGGCCATCATGAGCAAATAGTGCAAATGAGTAATTCTAAGAAGTGCTCAGAGATGCTGAGTGTCACAGCTTGGAGCACTTCTGATTAGAAATCTTGACTTGCAGCTTTTTCTTTTGCAGTTGTTCTCTCTTTTGTGTCTTTTTTTAACTTGTCATCATTTCTGTATCTGAAGTTTATTTTCTGCTAATGTCCCATCTCTCTGCAGCACAGTTTTTCTTTTGCAGTGCATTTCTGCTGTTTCATTTGTTTTCGTCTTTTGTGTGCATTTTTGAAAGTTGCACTTTTTCTGCAATTGCAGCCAGTTCACCTAATTAAGACTTTTTGGGCTGTTGCCAATCACCTGCAATTACCAACCACTGTACATAAAGGCTGTTTCCAGTTAAAATCAGCATCTTACACAGTGACACGTTTTAGAAAATACCCCCACAGAGATCGATCCTTATGTTTGATTCCATAACTTTTATTATTCTGAGTTTCGCCCCCCCAGGCTCCTTGTGACCTTTGACCTCTTGATTCCTCATGACCACACGATGACAATGAAGAACAGCGACAGAAAAACTGGATTTTAAATCTTTTAATATTCCAAAAATACTTCAATTTTGGCTTCTTAGTACATAAACCACCTGATCTGCTCCTCTATGAATACAGTGTCTCTCTACAGTCTGTTAGGAAATAAAAGTGCAAAGTAGTGAACAGTGAGTCCTCAGTCCACCACGCAGAGGAAAAGGCTACTTCAATGCTCCAAAAAACAGTCGAAGGACATCCAGCGCTGATGTCTGTTAAAAAATCAAACCAGAGGGCAGCAGGAGCACGTGACCCCAGCCTCGTGCAAAATCAAACATGTGTCTCCACAGAGGAAAGAAAACCATCCGAGTCCTGCAGCAGAGGATCAGGCCAGCCTGCTCCTCCGCCTGCTGCTGATCTGGAGTCAGTTTCTCAGTCTTTTTTTATTCTTATTTTGGTTATTTCATGAGTAAAAATCCTGCAGAAGCATCACTCAGCAGCTTCACAGTGTCACGCAGCTTTAATCCAAACTGGAGGTTCAGTCACTGCAGAGGAAACCTGTGGAGAGTCAGCTCCTGTTACCGCTTCTTCTTCTGCTTCAGAGACTTCCTCCTCTTCAGGATCATCTCATACAATTTGTCCATGCCCTCGTGCAGCCCCTCACCTATGATGGCACAGGCAGGTTGGATGTGGTAGGTGGTGGAGGGGGTGAGCTCGTGCAGGGCCAGCTGCTTCTCTATGTCCGCCACAGGCAGAGACTTGGGCAGGTCCTGTTTGTTGGCGATGACCAGCAGAGGGGTCCCCTGGTTCTCCGCAAACTTGGTGACTTTGTGCAGCTCCGTCTTCGCCTCCTCCAGCCTGTCCACGTCCACAGAGTCCACCACGTATATGATACCGTCCGTACAGCGGCTGTAGGACTTCCACAGCGGCCTCAGCTTCTCCTGACCCCCGACGTCCCAGAAGTGGCAGCTGATGCCCTTCGCGGTGCCGTTACTGAGCCGGATCTTCTCCGTGTTGAAGCCGATCGTGGGCACCGTGTTCACGAATTCATTAAACTTGAGTCTATAGAGGACGGTGGTCTTCCCGGCTGAGTCCAGACCCAGCATGACGATGTGCAGGGACTGGAAGGCGGAGATGTTCGAGAAGCTGTTGCCCATTTTCTGCAGCTGCTGGAGGTGAAATCCTCCTCCCGTGGACGTGGAAACAAAAACAGCTGTGGTGTCAGGCCGCGCGCATTAATCCCCCGTGTCGAAGGTGTAAAATTCCTCAGGTAAGGATCAGGCCCCCCTCTGGATGACGGATCGGCTCCTCTGTGGCCCTCAGCGTCAGCAGGGGACGCGGCGCGCCTCGGCAGGACGCAGCGCGCCGTTCATTAGTAGTCTCCTCACGCGCGCACATCCATTTGGCGACGAGGAAGCTCCACAGTGACACCCCACTCAGCGATACCCTCTGCTCTCAGTGAAACACCCCGCAGGACTGGAGGGGACAGAGCGATCACAGCTCCTCTGCTCCTCAGTCAGTCTCACACTAGAATCCGGTTTTCTGTGCGCACAATCACTCCCACCTCTCAGTTTTCTGCTCCGGTGATCAAACCGGAAAAAAAGCCTCCACTGAGAGTCCCACGGTCCACGCTCCGGTCCTCGCGCTGCTGCAGCTGCTCTGAAGTGAAGCTGAAAACACAAGACCGCAAAACAAGAGGCGGCCCCGCATCGCTCCACCCCGCCGGGACATGTGCCAATGAGGCGGCCTCACGAGCTGCTGCTGATCCCTGGCTACACACACTCTCACGCACACGCTCATACACACGCGCGCGTACACACACACTACAGGTCCAAACTTCCTCACTTTAACTGTCTATCAGTCAAGTCTGTGAAATTGAAGAAAAACAAAACTGAAAATGTTTTTAGAGTTACAGTTTTTTGTGAGATTTCTTTGAAAACGTCAGAGATGAAAAAGTCTCAGAAATCCTGATCTAATCGCAGAATTTCTCTGTGTATTTTGTGTAGAATAAAGAAAGATTCTTAGTACAGCTTCTGGAGTCAATCACAGACAACTACGCCACCCTGTGGTCCGGATGAGAACTACAGGGAGTTTTTGCAGACTCAACAGGATCATGGAGGAAACAGGCTGAGAAAAGTTATTGTTTTTTATCATGAAGGAGAGGAGAGCTCTATTTTCTTATATTTTAAGAAATATATCTTATATACTTATATATCTTATAGTTTTTCTTTCTTTCTCTTATTGCTCACATGATTGCAAACATAGAAACCCTAACATTCCTCAAAACTCAGTTGCCTGACAAAAAAAATCATCTCTCTTCTTGAAGAAAAAAAAAACAATCTTTAAATGGCTCTAGAGTGCCCCCCTTAATTTCCAGTTTTCAGTCTAGCCTACAGGTCCTTCGGTTTGATATTTCACGATCAAGGTTTTACCCTGAGCACTTCTATGTGTCTAATTTTTTAGACTATATTTTTTGTACCACCCTGTGGCAATACACGTTACAATCTTTTTCATACATCACCAGACTTGTTTTGTACATCTTGAATTTAGCTACATGTACAAGAGTGAGGCACATAGACTGTATATAGAATGGACAGCGTCTGCCTCCTCACTTCGAGAACAGCACCCTCTGGCTGCAGTATAGGTCATAGGTTCATGTTTTCTACGATTGACACTTGATACAGCCTATGGGCGTATGAAGATTGCGTAGTTCACCGGGGGATGCGCTGTTTTAGCTGAGCGTCATCACAGCGACTCTCTGCAACGCTCACACAGAATGCGTACAACGCTACTTCGCAATGTTGGTTTCAGGAAGTGGAGAAAAAACGCGGAATTACAGTGAGCTTTTTGGCTTCAAATCCGTATACCGGTGGAAGGCCAAACCAAATTGTTCATAGTATACACAGTCTATGGTGAGGCATAGTGATAGTGCCATCTAGTGGACACAAGCAGTATTACCTGTTTGAGTCTTTCAAGGGCTCAATTTAACACTTCATCACCCAAGGCCAAAAACTCCAAAAAATGACTTAGGCCATTATTTTAATAAGGTGATGACTTATTTTTCTGCTGTTGTGAAAGTTTGTGAAGTAAATGAAGGAAAATAAATCATCTTGATTCATGTGTGCTCACATTTTTAAAGCCACCCCTGTATGAGTCAGCCCTGGAGTTGGGCCATAAAAAGTATAAAAAGTTTGGAGCTGGCTCTGCACGTGGATGAAAAGTTTATGATACCAACATATTAAAGTGCAGGATTATATATTTTAATGGTAATAATCCAGAATTGTTTATGTGGAACAGTCCTTCCTCCTTGTTGATAATTCTATTTCTCAGATTTTGCTTTTATGGTAGTTTTTGGAACAAGTTTGTCTGAGGACTTTTTTCTAGGACATCAGGATTGATTTCTGATTTCTTATTTCGAGTAATGCATAACTTTACTCGGGCAGCAGATTTTCCCAGGAAGCTCTTCTAAAATCTTAAGGACAGTCAGAAAAAGATGATTTTCACTTTAGGTTTTTATCTTCAGAGATATATTTTTAATGACAAAATCATTTCTTCTGTAAAATTTAATGTTTGACCTTTGCATTCAGCTTAATGCACCATGTTTTCTCAAGTTTACAAATCAGACTGACTGATTTTAACACAATACAGTTTATGCTTTACTCCTTTCTTCCACTAGGTGGCGAAGTCTGACAATATTAGCTTCTTGTGTTTCCTCCCACACTCAGCTCCCAAATGTTTTTATTATATCCCCACAGAGGAATGTGACAAGAATACCCGATAAACCTGTTTGTATTTCATCTCCACAGACCGATGTGACAAGAATACACTCGTAGATAAACAGATTTTTAATCTACAGTTTCTGCATAAAGTTTCCACACAGAGAGAAAGACTCGAACAGCAGAGTGATGTGCAGGAGTGATAATGTCAAAATGAATCAGGAGATAAGTCTGAGCATGTTCTCGGCACATAAACACACACACACACTCTCACAAACACACTCCATCACACTCATTTCCAGGAAGTATCAGTGTTTCATGCACACACACGCTCAGCCTCTTCAGTTCCTCCTTCATCACTATTCCAGAGAGGATACCTGCAGGAGCACCTCTCTCGACAACTAACACACACAAACACACACACATATATATATATATATATATATATATATATATATATAACACTGTCCTCACACACACACACTGACACATAGTGAGTTTCATCTGAGTGTGTTTATCAGGCTGCACTCGCTCCCTGAAGCCTGATTGGTTTCCTGGATGTCATTACTGAGGCTGCAGAGGAGGAGGGACATAAATAAGCTCCATTTACTGTCTCTGTCTGCAAAAGCACAGACAGCATTCAGCATCTTCCTCCTGTTATAGTGCGGGATAATGTTATCTCCACGGGAGCACAGAGGAGCCATTAACCTCCACCCACTCAGGAGAGGTGGAGCAGCAAACACACAACAGACACACAAACATCCACACATCGATGCAAAAAAGCAGAGAAAGAAACACATGGTGGTCGTTTTATGACCCATAAAGACTGAAAATGTTCAAATATCTAAATGACACGCCCACACTTTAAGATTCAGATCAAATTCTCTCGACCTTTTACTCTGAAATGAAGCAAAACATGAAGAGTAAACACTCTGGAAATGCTGCTTTGACTCCAATAATGTGTTACTGAATGATACAAGACATGAACAATGAACTCTTTGAGGCTGCTTATTTGAACCCTTTTTTTCTGCATGATGATTGAGGAAAATTAAAGTAAAAACTGCAGTTCCTGGAGTGTCCACTAGAGGCTGGGCCTAAAAGCCAAGAAGCCACATACACACCTATTCAACAAAGCTCATCTTTACAGCAGAAAAGAACATGTTTACAGTCTGATTTAAAAAAGGATTTTGGTTTGTGTAGCCAATTTGTCTCTCTTCACACACTGTACATGAGGTAAATTCTTTTATAGCTCATTTATTTTGAAGATATTCAATTTACAAGTTTCACTCAATTAGAGGCACAGCTGGCTTGATGAGCAGTCAGATAAGCACCTATGTGCCTCATGATCAACCAAAAGTTGAAACACAGCAGCAGAAACTCATGAAATTTATTAATTACGACTTAACTGTCCAGGAAGATGAACAGTGCGAGCATGTGTAGAATTGCAATAGTGATGGGCACGGCAGTTCTTTTAGATGTACTGAAACACTAGAATCAGTTCACTAAAAAGATTCGTTCACTAAATCATTGAATCATGTAGTGCATGTCAGAAGAAACCTGTGACTCCGACCTCCTGAACTGATACACAGCTGAACGGTTCAGGATTCAGTTCAATTCAAAGCCTCTGGGACCGGAAGACGAGTGTTGGGCTGTGTTGCTCTGGAAAACAGGTTTGTAAAAATGAACTTGTTTGTAAGTCATGATGTTTTAAGGGTACTGTCCTATGGTATGCTATTTATCAGGTCGGCTCGGTAATTTTTTCAATTTAGCAATGAAAAAATAAGTTAGTTTTATCTGACAAAAGTGATTCCAGAGAGTGTAGTTCAATGTGTGATTCGTTCACCAAGTGATTCAGGTGTCGGTGCGTGTGGTCCTTTGTTTGCCGGCTGCTCAACTGGCAATGCTGTTTCTCACTTCAGCTCAACTGAAGTAAGAAATGAACTAATCACTCAAGGAAGTGATTCGGTTCAGTAAGTTCACTTAAAAGATTCAGTTGTTTTGAACGAATCGTTTGTGAATGACACAACACTACAGTGGAAACATACCAGCAGCCAATAGGGAGAGCTTTAGATGTTTGAGCCTCACTTTAGGGGATCTATTATGTTCATTTTTTGATGCATTTTTTTTTTGATAAATCTCATCCTCACAGCGGTGTTTAATTGGTTGTCTTTATCCAACCATGTCTTTAAAGCAGACGTGGATTTAGACTCTCACTCTGCCTGCAGCTTTAATATCCATATGAACGTTTGATGGAAATATCAAAACTCATGCTTCATTCATGTCACTGGGCGTGTTTTCCTGAAGCATCTCTATGTTCTCAGTGGGAGTTTTCTGATCTTCTAACCGAGAGGCTGGTTTGCATCATGTTAATCTGCCCGGGTGTCCTCCTGCAGACCAGACCAGCTCCTCTATGAAGTTATTTAAATTTCATGCTCCTCTTCGTCGTCTTAGGATATTAAACATTCACATGAAGCTCAAAGTGGGTCACGCCTGTACAAACACCCCTGACAGGACCGTCTTCATCCATGCTCTGAAACTGATATCAGCTGTGAAATGTTATTTAGAGTGGTTTGTACCATCTGTACTTGATATTAAATTACTAAGATGTGAAGAAAAACAGAGTTCAGGTGGTGAAAGGTCCATCCAAGCTTATTTTTCCCTAACAGAGACTTCAAAGTTGGATCAGACGTTGCTGTAAAATCAAATCCTCACAGTCCTAATAACCTGTAAGTGTTTCCTGCTCTCCAACCTCTATTTCTGAGTAAAAGAACAGAGGAAGGAGGAGAGCGGCGGCCGTGGAGGATGAGTGATGAAATCGAGGTGTTTGTCTGTGAAATCGAGTGAAACGAAAGAGCCCGGCAGTTTTCAGGGCTGAGCTCACTTCAATCAGGAAGTCAGATTTCATTCAAACCCGAAAAATGAAATTTATTAGGAAACGCTGTCCATCCATGACTTTCATCTGATTTGCCCCAAGGGAGGATATCCCAGCATGCACAGGGGTGAAGACGCAGTCGAAAGTGACCAGCTTGTGTTAAAATCAAACC